TTTTTTTTTTTTTTTTTTTTTTGGAATGAACCTCACATTCTAGCGCCCATAGAGGGCAATTCATTTGCAGTACGAGCAGAATTACAGAGCTCACCGTGGACTCATTTTGTAGACTGCATTCTATCTGAATAGCTGTGGCACTTAAGTATTCATTATGACTTCATAAACTAGAAGTATGGATTTTTTTTTCACAGACATGATGTGTAAGTCTGAACAATGTGCTGCACTATAGTTGCCTTGAAAAGCCATACTCCCTTTCCTCCTGCCTTCACACCAGTTCCCTCCTAAAGTGTCAGTTTCTCCTGTCTTTGTGGAGGGAACTGGAGCTGGCATGTGAGTAAACCTGCTTCCTGCTGGCCATTTGCTCTCCTCAGCATCCTGGGGATCTTTCCAGATCAACTGCCTATTGGAGTTCCTCCATCTTCACAATTACATTTCGGATAAGACAGGCCACTGTCTAGATTTGTCACCCTGTGAGCCTCCTTATACCCATATGAGGAACTTCTGTTCATAAAACTTCTTCATGCTTCTAACCCTCAACCTATTGTCAGAATAAAGATTTTGAGTATGTATTTTTGCCTCAACTTCATGCTTCTTTTGGAACTTTTAACACTGTTAAGGTAGAAGGAAGACAAATCTCCAACTGAGTCTAAATCTTAGGTTCTAAGCCAGAGGAATGAAGCTCTAATTTGCCATTCCAGTTGATGAAGGTGAATCTGATGGCTTTTCATAGAAAACAGGCCTGCACTATAGCTCTCAAACCACATTCTGGAAGCTGACATCTGCTTTGCCCACTCACAGTACTGTTTCTTGCATTTAATGCAATAAACAGAAGGCTACTCCAACCATTGGCAGTGTTGCTAAGGATGTGAGTAGAATCTCATCATGTATGCCTATCTCTTAAAGAATTTTACTTGTTCTATTTTCTAGATTTCATTTTTCTGTTTTTATCTGTTTTATCCATTTTTATTTGACTTTGCTACAAGATAAGAGACATGAATCAAGATTCATTCTTCTGCATGTGGATAACTTGTTTTCTAGAACTGTCTGTTAGACAGACTATCTTTTATCCAGTGTATACTTTTAGACTTGTTGTCAAAAATCAGAAGGATAAAAGTTCTTGGAGTTGTTTCTATATTCTCTATTTTATTCCACTAACCATATGCCTCTCTGTGTGTGTGTGTGTGTGTGTGTGTACGTGCGCACAGGCGCCAGGATCATTCTGTTTTTACTACTGTAACTTGGAAGTATAACTTGAAATCTGGTGTTGTAATATCTCCTGGCTTGCTCTTGTTCCCCTGGTATGCTTTGATTATTTTGAGTATCTTCTGATTGCAAATAAATTTTACAATTATTTTCTTATTTCTGAAAAAAAAATGCTGCATGTGGCTTTTGCTTTTGAGATTTCTTTAAATCTATGCATCATTTTTGGTCATATGGCTATTTTTGCAAATATTTCAAAACATTTTCTAATGCCTCTTCAGTCCCTTTTTTCAAAGAAATATGACTTTAGATAATAGAAGTCGGTTACTTCCTTATGTAGGTTAATTCCTAGATACTTCATTAGTTTTGAGCTACCACGAATAGAAACAATTCTCTGATTTCTCAGTGAGTTCTTTCTTTCCATGTACAACCAATATTTATTTTTCTGTGTTTATTTTTTATAGGTTCTCTTTTCTGACTTTATTAGCTCTAAGAGTTTTCCAGTGAAGTCTCCCCTGGGGAATCTTTTATACAAATGGCCATGTCATCTACAAATAAAGTTATTTTGACTTTTTATTTGAATTTTTTCTACAGGGTCTCACTATGTAGATTGGACTCATAGTGATCCTCCTGTTTTTCAGCTTCCCAATTGCTGAGATTACAGGAGTACACCACCACACCCAGTCTCAATGGCCATCTCGGCATGCCTGAGAGGTGGGGCCAGCTTGGCATACTGGGTACCGAACCCTGGCTGCTGTGCTCTGCCTAAGCAGGCACTATAGTCCCTGAATTATCTGGCCAGACTTTTATTTTTTATTTTTTAAAGAAAGTATAAATTAGAATTAAAACAGAAAAAAAGTACAAGTGATACATAAATTCACCTAACAAATGAATATGAATTTCACAGTATTTGTTTTAATGCATAGTGTTGTCTTCCAATTAGTTATTCATATTACCAGATATATGTGTATAAAATTGGAAGAAAGAAAAAAAAGGAACTTATAAGAAACTAAGAGGAAAAAGTATAATCAATTGAGAAAAGGAGAAAAAACAAATTAAATATTATCTATTCCTTTCCACAGACCAGCAGAAATGCACGGTATAGTTTTCCAAACCATCCTGCTTACATACATAGATAAATCTCTTTCCACCACACTCTCTCCTGTCCTTCTCCTCAAATCAGTAACTCTTTCCTTTTGAATAAGTTCACTGCCTTTTCCTAGTATCTATTATACCCTTCAGATTCCATTTTTCTCTTTCAGGTTCTCACGCTAAGGAGACAATACAATGTTTACACAGGCAGGTATGATTTATTTCACTTAAGACTATGGTCTCTAGTTGCATAGCAGAATAATACTCCAGTTTTTTAAAATACTACATCTTCTTTATCCATTATTCACTTGATTGGCATTTAGGTTTTCTCCAGTGTGCACATATATCGCTGCAATATGAGGTTTTCATTTCTTCTGGAGAAATACCCAGGCGGGGAAACTGGCTTGAATGGATCTCCAATCCTGGCTTTTAAAGGAATCTCCACACTGATTTCCATAGTGGTTGTACCAATCTGCACTCCCACTAACAGTGGAGAAGGGGTCCTTTCCCCCGCCACACAGCTCCTGCAGCATTTGTTATTGGCTGACTTCTTGATGTTAGCCATTCTGTCCATGAGTCGGAATCTCAGTGTTGTTTCAATTTGCATTTCATGAATGACCAACCATGTGGAACGTTTTTTCATATATTTACATGCCACTTGTATTTCTTCCTCTAAGAAGTGTTATGTTCATCTCAGATGCCCATTTTTGGATTGGGTCTTTAAAATTCAGGGGATTGACTTTTTGTTTTTTCTTTTTCTTTTCTTTCTTTTTTTTTCTTTTTGTATTTTAGGGAAGGGCCTACAGAGTGTTCAGGGTCTCACTACTAGATCAGACTCATAGTGATTATCCTGTTTACAGCCTTCCAAGATCTGGGATTATGGCACACATCACGCCTAGTCACAATCACAGTCTCAGTGCACCCTGGGGGCAGGGCTAGCATGGCAGGCCCAAGGATCGAAACTCT